CCATATAAGTCAGTAGATTTAAAAGAAACATACAACTGAAACACTAGTGGTCTAGCTATAGTAGGTGGGGAAATTGGAACCTACACAAATAAGTCAGCAGATAAATTAACCATTATACCACTAAACCACTAATGGTCTAGCTATAGTAAGTGGGGAAATCTGAACATATATAACTGAGTCAGCAGATAAATAAACCACTACAGCACTGAAAAGCTAGTTTTACAGCTAAAGAAGGTGGGGCAAATTTGAAACCAAAGAAGTGAGTCAGCAGATAAACACACCACCATAGTATTTAAATACTAAGAACGTCACATACTGTACAATCTTCTTGTTATATTCGTGCATGGCCAACTGCAGCTGTAGTTCAATCTTCAAAGAAGCAAACAAAAATGTTTGGCTATCTTCCGAATTCCGGTCCCAAATTATCGAGGCAGAAAATATTCCCTAACAGGGCCTCAGCCACATGTAAATTGCGGACTTCCGGCGACTACCGACGAGAGCATCTCCCATGCCGCTGTGCTCGGCGTGGGGTCCTAATGGAGCAATGATGCGCAATACAAGACTCTTAATGTCTATTAGCCTCTCTTGCTCAAGCCTACCTCACCTTCACGTGGTGGACCCTGTTCTTCCCAGCAATCCAGTTGAAGGTTGGGGTCTCAACCCCCAGCGGGAAACTGGATGGGACAACAAACGAGGTAAAGGCGAAAGACGAATGGATGAGCCTACTCTCCTCGAGTATGATCACAGTCTACCCTAGCAAAACAAGGTGCTGAAGTCGGAGGCAACCAGCCAAGAGGCGCACCACAGCAATCAGGATGCCACACATACACGCCGTGGAAATATGTCTATATCAGCAAAACGTTATGGTGCTCGCCCTGTGATGGACTCTCAGGCAGGAGCAGTGCCGGGCCCTCTGCCTCGAAGAGGCCCAACCCAAATTACTGGAGGTCCTTCTCAAATGTCCTGTGGAGCCAGGGGACATGAGAATAGAGCATCTGGCCGAATTAAGAAAGGAGTCAAATTAATGCACTGGAATGCAGAGGGGATTACAAATAAAAAGCTAGAGTTAGAAAATATTCTAAATGAGGAACAGATTCATATATGCTGTCTACAGGAAACCCACCTCACTGAAGACACAGTCTTCAAAATCAGAGGTTATCAGTGCTTCCGATCAGACCGGAAAGGCAGGAAAAAGGGTGGAATATTGACTCTTGTGAGGAACAATATCACTGCGTGCCAGACTGAAGTATATATGGATGGAGCAGAATATCAGATTCTGAAACTACAAACTGGAAATGCAGACTTCCACCTGCTCAATTATTACTGCCCAAGTGATCGTCCCCAGGCTTTAGACACAATCCCAGTGGAAGAAAAGATGATTCTATGTGGAGACTTTAACAGCCACTCACAAAGCTGGGGATATGACCATATAGACCAGAGAGGAGAGAAACTGGAGGAGTGGCAGGATGAGAACAGATTTGTTCTTATTAATAGACCAACTGATCCACCCACATTCTACTCGAGGTCGTGGCACACCACTACTACCCCAGACCTAGCATTTCACTCTCCAGATCTGGAATGGAACATTAAACGAGTTGTTGGAAATCAACTGGGAGGCAGTGACCATCGACCGGTCTTCCTGAATGTAGAAAATGAGAAGGTCAGAGAAACTAGTACGCTGCCAAGGTGGAACTACAAGAAGGCTGACTGGACAATGTTCAAGCACCGTACCAGTATACTGCTTGGAAGTCTCAGCGTAGACCAGGATATAAACAAAGTAGTTACAGAATTTAACAAATGCGTACTAAAGGCAGCAGGAGAATCAATACCAAGAGGTGCCCGTAAGCATTATAAGCCATACTGGAGTAATGAGCTAGAAAATTTATATAACGAAGTAGAAACATCCAGAAAGATAGCAGAGACCAGGCCAAACCAAGAACATCACAATAACTACCAGCATGCAAAAGCAAAATTTGTAAGGGCAAAGCTGCAGGTTAGAAGGGAAAGCTGGCAGGAGAAAACAAGGTCGCTGAACTTTGAAAAAGACACAAGAAAGTTATGGAAGCTTGTGAAACAAATTAATGATGAGGACACAGGGTGGAACTCAAAGATCACGCTGCAGAAAGATGGAAACATGGTCACAGGAAAAGAGGCAGCCAACCTATTTGCGGACACTTTTGCTATAGATAACGACATTGAAATCAGTTCAGAGAAAAAACACGAAATTCAAGAAAAGACACAATTTAGAAGTCAGAAAGAAATAACATCAGAGGCGCTAGAGGTGCCAATTACACTTAATGAACTGGAGTTGGCCATTTCAAAGCTGAAAATGCGGAAGTCACCAGGAGCAGATGGTATATCAAACAAAATGATCAGAAACTTAGGAAAAGTAGCCAAAATAAAGCTTTTACAGATATTTAATGCTTGCTGGGCAACAGGGAATGTTCCACAGATCTGGAGAGAGGCAATTATGATACCCCTCATAAAGCCTGGGAAAGACAGTTCTAATGCCTCCAACTACAGACCAATCAGCCTCACAAGTTGTCTCTGTAAAACAATGGAGCGCATCACCAACCTCAGACTACAGTGGTACATTGAAAGTGAAAACATCATTACACCACAGCAGGCGGGCTTTAGAAAGTTTTATTCCACGGAAGACCAGACAACATATCTCTCCCAAGAAATAGAGGATGCTTTTCAAGATAAGAAACTAGTACTCGCGGCATGGATAGATTTAAGAAAAGCTTTTGATAAGGTTTGGAAGGAGGGGCTTTTGAAGAAATTGAGAAACTATAAAATAAATGGAAAAATGTACAATTGGATTAAAGCATATCTACATAACAGAAGAGCAAGGGTACAGGTAGATGGTTTTAAAAGTAAAAAAGTTTTACTGCGACAAGGCGTCCCTCAAGGTGGTGTCCTGTCGCCCACACTTTTCCTTTTATTTATCAACGATCTTATTGCTGAGATACCAAATGGAATCAAAATGGCAATGTATGCCGACGACCTGGTACTGTGGTGCACCAATGAACATGCAACGATAGCCACAAAAACACTACAGCGCGCTACAAATGCACTTGAGGCATGAGCCAATAGATGGTGTGTCAGTATCAACACAGACAAATGTAGCACCACACTATTCACCCTCTCCCCAAAGCAAAAAGCTGGCACCATCAAAATAAACGAAATACCCCTGAGAGATGATAAAGAGCCCACATACCTAGGAGTCACATTTGATGACAGGTTGACATGGAGAAAACATATCAACAAGGCAGCAACCAAAGCCAGGAGGAAGACAGCAATTCTAAGAAAACTAAGTGGAACCACATGGGGAGCAGATGGGAAAATACTCAATAAAGTATACAAGCAGAGCATACTTCCACACTTGGAATATGGGTCAACTGCATGGTGTTCAGCATCTAGTACCACATTAAAGGAGTTAGACAAAGTGCAAAATCAAGCGCTCAGAGTCATCACAGGAGGGATGAAATCAACCCCCATATTAGAAATGGAGAAAGCTGGGAAAACACAGGCACTGAGAGAACGCAGAGATACAAAGTTGCAAATACAAGCTGAAAAGTTCCTCTGTATGCCAGATCACCCGATGGAAAATAGATTTAAGAACCTAGCCTTGGGACGGTAAAAAAGAAGCAGCTTTATACACCAAGCAAAAAGAATATGTAGACAAACTCCTGACCTTCCAGAAATTGGCTGCCCACTTAAAAGTATTCCGGAACAAACCCCATGGAGAGAAAAATGTAAACTAATGGTACAAATCCAGACAAATGTGAAAGGGATATTTGACAAGAAAGAGCAAGATAGTGTACAACGTAAAATGGCCACCCTCAGTTATATTGATGAAGAATACCCACAAGAACAATGGGTCAGAGTCTATACAGATGGGTCCGCAGAAAGTGCAGTTAGAAATGGTGGTGCTGGAGTGTACATCGAATTCCCAGATGGTACTAGGGATAAGTCCAGCGTACCAACCGGGAAGTACTGCCATAACTACGATGCAGAAACCCAGGCTATCAAAATAGCTACAGAGAAACTGCTAAATACCAACCTTGGCTCACAGTATGTGGTAATGCTTACAGATGCTAAATCAGTACTTGAAGCACTCCAGTCTAGGAAACTACCAGAATTGCAAACACTGCTGACACAACTCAGCGTTCAGCGAAGAGTCGTAATGCAGTGGATACCGTCTCATTGTGGAGTGCCTGGAAATGAGAAAGCTGATCAACTGGCAGGGGAAGGTGCGACAAAAGAGCAGCCAAATGTACCAGTCACATACCACCAAAAGAAAAGAATCATTAAATCGATCAGGAAACCACCAGCCCCAGCACAAGACGACTATTTTATTATGGACAGACCAGAACAAGTCATTATCCTCCGCCTCAGAACAGGGCACAACCGATTACGTAACCACATGTACACAAAATTCAAGATAGGTGTATCAGCCATGTGCACCTGTGGAAATGTGCCCCAGACGGCAGAGCATGTACTCCAGGACTGCACCGATTTTGACACATTGAGGCACACCTTTTGGCCAGAAAGAACAACAGTGGAACGTAAACTCTATGGACCACTGAATGAACTAACAACGACAGTGAAATTTATACAAGAGACAAAACTGCTGATATAGATAACTTTTTTCAGGCGAACGAAAGAAGAAGAAGAAGAATGTGCTCGGCGTGGATTGGGGCTAAACTAGATGGCTGGGACTCACGAGCAGCAGCTACCGCATCTCCTGCAGCTTCCTTAATTTTATTTGCTCATGAGTCCCAGCCATCTAGTTTAGCCCCAATCCACCCCGCGCGTCTCGGCCGTGGCGGAAGACCGCAATTTACACGTGACCGAGGCACTGTTAGGGTATATTTTCGGCCTCAATAATTTGGGACCGTTATTCGGAAGATTGCAAAATATTTTTAAACAAAATAAAAGAAAAAGGTTCTTTGGAAAAATCACAAGTAAAGGCATAAGATAAACCAGATACTTACGACATAACTTTTCAGTCGAATGAAGTCAACAGCAAGTTGTACTGAATGTCCACTGTTTCTGTTCAGCACCTGAATCTTGTCAAGTAAGTCTGTGAAAAACTTGTAGCCTCCTTTGAGAATGCATAATCCAACGATAGACTCATTCCCAAAATCAGCAACAATGTCACGAGCTAAGCGTTCTATTCTGGGGAAAAAAATTGTCAGTCTTGACTGGCGGTAACAAATCTACTGAAAAGGGTAAAGATAAGAATGAATGCAGTTCTGAAAATCTACAATGTTGTCTGTAAACATTTAGAGCCACATCTTTATGCAGACACAAATTAGATGGCCAGGTTACCTCGTCCGTTTGACAGACCACTGGCTCCCAAAGATAATCTTTTATGGTGTGATATAAAAAGGCTCTCACAGTGACCAGAAAAAAAAGCTTCAAGAACACACCAAAGGCAGCACTTAAAACCTTTAAGATAAACTCCCTAAAATTAATAAAGACCCAGTTAACATGAGTAAATTTTATTTCCAGCCGGGATGTATTATTATTAGTAGTCAGTTAGCACAAATGTTTTTGAAACAAACTCTTGATTGTTTTGTTAATGAGGTTTTACTGTATGAGTGCTCTCTTGCACAGCCGACTAGTTCTTTGATTATGTAAACGAACTAAAAATATGAAAGACATGGACCCCTACTGGACATTTAACAAATCTGGCTCTCCTCCGAACTTCTACCCCCGCATTATGGCGGCCTGAAATATCCGTTCGGCGCTCAGTTCTATTAAAAATATGCCAGCTCCGTAAAACAAAACAAATGCTCTAACAGGGTCTCAGCGATATGTTAATATGACCTGTTTCTTATTGTTTCTGATTACCTGACAATTATAAGAGACGCAGCACTGCAGACGATAGTAGCAGACGATAATAGTGACCGTTGACACTTTCCATTGTCAAACTTTCTGCCCAGGAACAAATATGTAAAATACGGACTTGTCGGACTTTCTGCCGACGAACAAATCCGGCAAATCTAGGATCGGCTCGGAAAAACAAAACAATTGCTCTAACAGGGTCTCAGCGATATGTTACTTGTGGACCTGTTTCTGTGACTATGCCTAACCCCCGACCGTATGCCCCGCGTCGCTACACGCAGCGCGGATAGGGGCTAAACTAGATGGCTGGGACTCACGAGCAGCAGCTACCGCATCTCCTGCAACTTCCTCCAATTACTTTGCTCGTGAGTCCCAGAACCTAGTTTAGCCCCCCCCCCCCACCCATCCGCGCCGCGTGTACACTCGGCGGTGAGTTTAATCGCGTTTTGTGCATGCCAACAAGTCTGACATCTACCGCTGCTAAATCCTCAATTAGAAAAACAGTAATCTGCGTGGGAGCGCGTGGTCTACCCGCCAAATCGCTTTTATCGTCTGTAATGTCTCGAAATTGTCAACGGTCGCTTTTATCATCCGCAGAAACACTCGACATTGTCACCGGTCGCTTTTATCGTCTGCTACTATCGTCTGCAATGTTGAGTCTCTTGAAACTGTCAAGTAATCCTAGCTTTGCAGCGATTTGTTCCTTGGCAGGAAGTCCGCATTTTTCATTGGACTGAGCCCGGAACGGATATTTCAGGCCGCCATAATGCGGGGGTAGAAGTTCGGAGGAGAGCCACAAATCTATGTGGTTAAAGTGACAGGAAGACCTAGATGCACATAAAATGACAAAAAATATTCTTTAATATCAACGACAATGGACCTTGATAAACAGAGTGATAATATAACTATTTCTTGAAGTTCATGCTCTAGAGCAATCATCAGCGATCTCAATTCTTCTAAAAATAAGTCAGAATTTCAATGTGTTGCTTATTGTATTGTTCATTGTCCAGCTGTTGATGCTATAAGACACTAACCTGTCATGAATGAGGCCAGCAGGGATGAGTACATGATCAAGGTCTTGCTCGTAGTGTTTTGGGACACAAAACTGGTCTAAAGAGTAACCTTGGTTGTCATCTGAAATCTGAAGGAATGGTATTCATTAGCAACCTGAGTCATACAGTTACACTTAACTGTTGGGTGTAGAAACAAACAACCTTGGTCATACAGTTAAACTTGACTGCTGGGTGTAGAAACAAACAACCTTGGTCATACAGTTACACTTAACTGTTGGGTGTAGAAACAAACAACCTTGGTCATACAGTTACACTTAACTGTTGGGTGTAGAAACAAACAACCTTGGTCATACAGTTACACTTAACTGTTGGGTGTAGAAACAAACAATCTTGGTCATACAGTTACACTTAACTGTTGGGTGTAGAAACAAACAACCTTGGTCATACAGTTACACTTAACAGTTGGGTGTAGAAACAAACAACCTTGGTCATACAGTTAAACTTAACTGTTGGGTGTAGAAACAAACAACCTTGGTCAGACAGTTACACGTAACTGTTGGGTGTAGAAACAAACAACCTTGGTCATACAGTTACACTTGATTGTTGGGTGTAGAAACAAACCTTGGTCATACAGTTACACGTAACTGTTGCATACAGTTACACATAACTGTTGGGTGTAGAAACAAACAACCTTGGTCATACAGTTACACGTAACTGTTGGGTGTAGAAACAAACAACCTTGGTCATACAGTTACACTTAACTGTTGGGTGTAGAAACAAACAACCTTGGTCATACAGTTACACTTAACTGTTGGGTGTAGAAACAAACAACATTGGTCACACAGTTACACTTAACTGTTGGGTGTAGAAACAAACAACCTTGGTCATACAGTTACACTTAACTGTTGGGTGTAGAAACAAACAACCTTGGTCATACAGTTACACTTAACTGTTGGGTGTAGAAACAAACAACCTTGGTCACACAGTTACACTTAACTGTTGGGTGTAAGAAACAAACAATCTCGAGAATATAGGCAAATTTAAACACTAAGTAATAATTGGTTATACTAACATTTATTTTAAGTTTAATTATAACTTTCACATTTTTTTTTAAACTATAAAAAAAATAAAAAGCTAAAGGCATATTTGTCTTCATGAACAGTTTGTACATCTACCGTTAAATGTCTAACTAATAGGATAACATGTGCAATTAATTAGAGATTAACTCTACCAGACCGATGTCCCGCTACTACGGTAATTTCCTAATCTGCCACTAATCCGGTGTCCCTGGTTGTCGGTAATTTGAATACTACATGAAAACAATGCGTCACAAACTAAAAATAACTAGCCAGTTGAGGTGAGTCATTGCGAATTGCTGCCCATATGTGTTTGAATTTACTTTGTGTGGTTTAACGCTGATGAACCAGGCACTTCGACAGGAAAGTGAAGTAGGTCTAGGCTTTTCACAGTCCAACAGGTGATTGATACTTTGGTTGATTTAGACTCTGAGGAGTCAGAATTTCATGAAGAATACATCCCTACTTATGGTTGCACAGTTGGTGTGAGCTCGAGTGATGAGGAGAATCTTGAAAATTACAGATTTAAAACTAGATCGATAGTAACAAAAGGGATGGCGTGTCCCTCAAACAGCAACATCTGGTGCTCACTTTATAAAACAAGGCTGATCCTGCTGGGTGGAATGACACTCAAAGGTAGAAGAATACTGGCGCTAGATGAAAGGTCAACCTATTTTCTACAACGTCTCCAAAACTCATCTTATTCTAACAACTTGTTTGCATGTAAATAATATTTGTGTATATCATGTTGGTTTTTTGGTTTAATATATCCTGGAGCTCAGGTATAGAGGACAGTTAGGTTCAGGGCCTCAGGTCTGCTAGGGTTATGAACACACATTCTGTCCAAAATGTATCTCCACAATTTCTATTTCACCTCATTACTGATTAAACATTTAATTAATCTGCCATAGAATTTGGTAGTGTTATTTTTGAAAAATTGTGCTGAACTCTTGAGGTTCTTCTTTCTAGTTTCGTGTCATACAAATGTTAAATCTCTGCACTGCCAATGCAAGTCTTCTTCTGACTTCTTTCGAGCAGTCACCACTGTTGTTCACTAAAGAGTCCAAGTATTCGAAATCTGTTACACTTTCAATTTCTTTATTTTTGTCGTGATATGTGGTTGGTGTGCTGTATTTACTGAGGCATATTGTTTTTTTTTTTTTAATTCTGAAAGATTTACTTCTTTGCTGTGTTTTTTGACAGCCAGAATTAATGTTTCTAAACCCGTTGGAATAAGCGGACCGCCCTGTGGAGTTATCTGCTGTTAGCTTAGCAATAACACTGCACAGTAGGATACTCACTTACGCAGGCATACCAAAAGATTACTGAAGGTTGAGATGCTCGGCCGTGCGGATGTTCAAAGCAAGGGAGACTACCACATTATATATCTCTAGAAACTCAACATGGATGTGGATAAAGAAAACATAAAAGCAGAAATTTTTCTACAAATATTTACAAACAAAATCAACATCAAAAGCTTCTGATGTGATTATGTTTTTATTTGTTACCATTTATATCCAAGAACATGGATATCATGGGGAAAAGTTGTGGGTGTTTGAACAGATACAGATGGTTCTCCAGCTATAATAAGTTCTCATTCTGAGTTTCTTCAACTGCTTAAAGACACAATAGAAAAAAAAACTAAAACATCGTTGTTTGTAACACAGTGTGAAATGTTTAACAGACAGGCCCTGGTAGTCAAAACTTTACCGCAGGATCTGAACAACACATTGAAAATAGCTAGGACAGGGGTGAATTATTCTGAAATTTGGGCCTTCAACACAACAAAGAGTAAAGACTTGTGATGACCTTCAAACGACACATTTACTTTTTTATGCTGAGGTCAGACGGTCAGCAAAAGAAAATATGCTGGCTCAACTGTATCAACTGAAGTCTGAGGTCAAAGTCTTCCTCAAAAGTCAATAGAAGAAATTTTCATTGGAATTTATCACCAATTTTTTTTTTAAAGCTTTGAACTTTGAGTAACATTATAACTTGAATTATTTTAGTTTAGAGAAAAAAAAATACAAGGCAATTATGTGTTTTGACACTGATTTAAGTGAATGTTTGTGTGTGTGTGTGTGCTAATTCTTGTTAACAGTGCTTAGGATTATGTGTGTGTCCCTTTTTCCCTTATTCTTCTTTTTTAAAACAAGTTCTGGGAGGGGGTGGGGGTTCTCTTGCAAATAGGCGGGGTCATCTGGGGGAAAAAAAGGGTTTCATTAAAAGACACCACACTGACTTCGGCGAGATACTATATGATTCGTAACATTTTACACACAAAAACTATTAGGGAGAACAATTAATATCAAAAATGAAAATAAACTATTAAAACAGTAATAATTTTACAATCTTTACCAAAAGCCACCAAGTAGCAAGGAAGAATATTAACCTGAGGTTAGACAAACACCAAGTGATGAAAGAAGAGCATCCCACATACCTTGGAGTCACACTTGACCCAGCAGCTCAGCCCTCAAGAACCATATTCAGGAATAAAGGCATTGAGGCGGTTACAGTTATTAAAGAGACTTGCAGGTACTCAAATGGGGATCAGACAAGGAAACTCTAGAGGGGGCTTATACTAGGATATGTTTTCGCTCTGTGATAGAGTTACAACAACTCATGCTTACAACTTGTTCCAAAAAACTAACCTAGAGACTAGTACAAAATAATGCCCTCCGATTAATCTGCGGAGCTATGTGCAGTCTACAACCAACTGCTGCATGTGAAATCCATACAAATGTGGAACCCCTCGGGTTGCGGAGAGAAAAAAAAGCCACTTTAGAAATTTATGAAAAGATGCGTTAGGAAAAATCGTAACCACCCTAATAGACAGTCTTGTAGAAAACTGGGAGGGGGGGGGCCAAACAAAGAATTACAAAGCACAAATCGGTTTTTTTCGTGTTTTTTACACTGTGTAAATGAAATTCAGGACAGATACCACCCTCCCAGAAAGACGGTCAAGGAATCAGAAAGGTTTGCAAAAAAAAAACCTGACCACCACATGCTCGCTTTAAAGCTCCAGAAGTCCAAAACTAAATTGGTAGGCGAGGAAACCAAAACAGTCCGACCCAAAATCTCTTGAACTCATCACTTAAAGACCGTTTGATTCTTACCCCCAAGAATGGATACATTCTAATACTGATGGATCAGCATTTAAAGCTACCATTAAAGCAGGTTACGGAATTCTACATAGGTTATCCCGATGGATCTGTTGAAGAGGATTTTTGATGCATGCGGGAATTCTGTTCAAACTATGAAGCTGAAAATAATTGCACTGGAAAAACAGCAGTATACCACCTAAAGACTGTAAGGGATGTTTACACCCTCAAAAAGGTCCAAAATATTGTCTCTTCACAGATTCAATGTCTGCCCTTCAAGCTCTGGAGGGCAATGAACGCTGCAGAAACTGACATAGCCAAGATAATCCTGGATGCCGATCATCTCTATTACCTCATATCCACATCAGAATAATAGTGATGCAGTGCGATTTCAAGGTCACTCCGGCACACCAGGTAAATGACAGAGCTGACAGATTGGCAAAGAAAGGAGCAACACAAGAACAACAACCTACAGCGACAACCCTACCTACAGCAAAAACACTGATAAGAGCTATAAACAAAGAGACTTGGTTTGAACAGATGGGCACCATGGGATAGAGCCACTGGAAGAGAGGTTTATAGACATATGTCTGGCCCTGATCCTAATGACAGCATTACCCATCTAACAAGAAGGGACCAGGCCACCATCTTCAGACTTAGAACGCAAATATACTCCACTCAATGGACACCCTAAACAGAATACAGCCACAACACTCCCCAGAGTGCCAGCTATGTAAAAAACTACCCCTACGAACTGTTGAACACACATCTCTTTGAGTGCCCAAAAACTCTCAGTGAGACAAGAAGAACGCTACTCCCTCTCCGAGACCAGACAAGTGGAACACTTGTACGGAGGAAAAGAACAGCTTGTGAAAACATGCAAATTCCACTACATGGCATTGGGCCAAAGGGCGAAAGCTCATGCGCCGCTGGATCGATAACAACAACAATTAGTAGTAGATAGGCGTACTGAAAATCACTTTATTAATTGTTTCTTATATTTAGCTTAAACTCAAATTTGACACTTCTCTGGTAGGGTGTCGTCTCAAATACTATATTATAACTATATACTTACCCGAATGAAAGAAGACTTTTGGATATCCATTTAACAATTTGTAGCTGTGATACAAAGCATACACCGAGCAGCCGATGTAATTATTAGGACGATGGAAACTGCTCATCCAAAGATGCTGATAACTTCACTTTTGTGGGTAGTTGGCCCGGAGTTCAGCCCGCTCAACTTCTCCTTGCAGCAGGTTGTAGATGTAGAAGTAGAAGCAGTGTTGCCACTTTTCTTTGACAAAAAATATCCAAAACGGTATCAAAAAATATCTAAACAAATCTAAATCTGCGTGGAAAAGATCTAGAAAAAACTTCCAATTTGAAAAAGTCAAAAATTACATAGCTTT